TGAGGTTAATCACTATACACCGTTTATGTCCCAAGGGAGAATTAAATACAAGTAGCATTACTTAGGGATTTCCTGTTTTTCTAACTAAGATGTATTTACTGTTCGTTTATTTTGAGATTTTAATGATTACAAAATCCATGTTATACATGTATATAATTCAGCAAATTTAAAGTTTGAATAAATTCACACAAAATGTCAAAAGCAAACTTCAAATCATATTGTTCACGGAAGTGGTTTTAGGTAGTTCATAAATCATTCAATTTCATTAGATTATACCGAATTTTACATTTTAGCCAATTTTTTCACAAAGATCTTTAGGATTCTCTTCATTGTATTACTCATGAAAATACGATGTAGGAAAATTGTTCAATCGAAAATATGCACAGCGGGTCTTCGTTATATTAATAGTTTAAAGATTTCAACGAAGATGTTGTTTTAACATAAATTAAAGAGAGCGTTGCGGAAAATTAATGTAGAATTTATCAGCTATACAATCTCTCCGCCAGCAGAAGCTTTTTGTTACATTAACGAATGAAATGCTGATTTTTGTAACCAGCAATGTAAAATGTAACCAAATCACGATGAGAGAATGACCCGAAGATTGTGTTGCCTTAATGTATATTAGTTCCCGAGCTTTATTAGATTAATTGAGAGTCTAGTGAATCGAAATTGTATACTGGAGCACAGAAATCAAATGCAATGTAATTAAGGCATTGTGGGCTTTTATTCAGAGATAATCCGGAGATCTGATTTCCACTATGCGTTTTGCATACATGTATATTTCACTTTATATTACTTCCGCTATGTCATATCTAGTTTGGTATTGCCCTAGAACGAATGCAGTATGACGATAAGGAACAGCAATCAAGCTATGTCCATTGAAACAATACAAATGGGGAGAGAGCAAACCTGAAAAACCTAAAATATCAGAGGGGGTTCAGATGCCAAGAAGCAGTAAAACATTACCTGTTGACTGCTCAATCTAACCGAGATCCTTTTGTAAATGTTATGGTAAACGGAAAATCCGGAGACAATACAATGTGAAAATAATTGCCATATACGATTTGCATTAAAAAGTCCGTCAAAATTAGACTAAATGATACATGTCGATGGTATTTGCTGACAAGACCATTGTATTGACTATATATAGAATTTTCATAATGTTGACTTTGAACGAGGCTGTTGATATGATTCATCACTTTATTTGTCAGCAGCTTTCCTCATTTATAGGAAATAGAAAGAAGTTGGTGGATTAATTCTAGTTTAAAGGTATTTAAAGAGTGTTAAATTTTATTTTAAAAAACCCAAGGAAATGATGAAAGTATAGTTATCTGATAAAAGCAGCATAAATGAAGAAAAGATTAACAGCGATATAATTGCACGAGAAAAGATACATAAATAACTTTTAATGTCTCTGACGAGAACAAGTCGAATATTTAGTGTCCTTCGTATAAAAACTTTATCTCTCGTTCGATTCCACACACACATGATGTCTAAATACTGTCTTAGAACATAACGAGATTCCACCACGTTCTTAAGTACGAAGATCTACTTTAAACCAATTGCTTCGATGGAGAATTATACCGGAGGCCAATGCAATTTGCTTTGTTCTGTGGTTTAGAATTCTAATGTGCGAAATACCACGAAAATCGTTTTCAATTTAGCATACTGTTACACGGATTCAAGTACTTTTATTGGCGTTTTTTCTTCTCCAGTAAGCATGCAAGAATAAGAGGATCACAGCTCGTCAAGATTTCCTTTCAGAAAAAAAAGCAAAAGATCGTGGCTCTAAGCGACTCCGACTAGGTTCATTTAGAACTAATAATTAGCGAGGAAGATGGTACATCTCTCTATGATTTTAAAATACCAGTAATTTTACACGTACATGTACCGTGGGTGTCTTTTAGAATCGTCACTTTTGCATTTGTATTATTTTTATACTTTAAACCGATGTGGATGTAGTCCACCATGTAAAAAAAAAATTAAATTTAAATTACGCAAAATAATAATCATAATTTTAATAATTATTTGATATTGTAGTTTAGAATAAATCGAAAAATTGATTACAGTGCTGTAAAAAAAATCACATGCATAAAATACATGTATTATTCAGAACACTTCGAATAGAAGAATTACACAATTTTAGTCCATTCACGTATTGAAGAATTCAAAGTGATTGAACTTTAAATTTTAATGTATTTAAAATACAATGTACAATGAACAGATTTAATAATTATATTTTGAGAATTTCAAACTTGCAATTTACCAAATAATTTCGATCATGAGTTCATTTTTAGCAAGGAAAAGAAAATAATATTCTCCAGTGAATTTAAATAATTTAAATAACAGAAATTAAGCAATAAAAAATTGCGTTGAAGTACCACAAAACAATAAAAACTGCGCTGAAAAAACCTGAATAAAAACTGCGTTGAAATACCTTAAACAAAAACTACGTTGCCTGCTATCTGTAAATTGACTCGGAATCCTCGTGATGTTACTTGTACTTTATTTTTAACATACCAAAGTTGAACAGAACTGTGAAAATAATTATGATTTCTTTCATTATTAAATGATTTCGCTCTTTGTCAGGATTTCAGATTAACATTTGGGTAGTTTTCATTCAAGACTTAAGTTAGTAATTTTTGATGACATCTGAAGAGCATTTCATCTCTCTTCTCATTGTCAAACAAAAACCCAGAACTCAGAACTTCTTGCTTGGAGGTAAATTACTTGCCTGAATGGAAATGTGGCAAATTTTATACACATGTTCTTTTGTTGCTTTCATCTTAACGGAGAGTAGTGGGATGTCCGTTAATTATTTACAAGTAATTGTTCATGCAGTGAGAGTGCAGTACAAATGTATAATAAAACACAGTACAAAATGATCACCACCAACATTTTCCATTGTTCAGCAGATGGCGTGGAAAACAAAATATGACTGATCGCTACCGGTATAACATGAAGAACAAAAGTTTTTGTCAGATTTTTAATTCAGTAATGGGGTTCTACTAGTATGAAGAGAGCAAAGCAAACCTATTTTTACACATATTATTCGCCTTCGTGAACATAAAAAAATGAAAATAAAATGGAATTCTTCCAACTCGTACATATGTAACTAACCCGAATTGTATAACAGGAAAAAAATATTTCCTTAGTAATGTCTATACGATGCATAGAAATATAGTAGAAGTTGGCTGGTTTATCAAAACCCTTTTGTAACTAGTGCTAATTGTAACGGGGACCGTTACAGATGTTCCCCAAACGCTCCCCAACTCCCTTTTGGTGCCATATTCCCTGTAAGCTTTATAAAATAAGACAAACTCGATGCATTTAAGACTTTAATAACGTTTACACAGAAGTGTAAAATTTTGCGTGCGCAAATGCATGTGCGTAATGAACATATAATCTTGTCTACACAATCTATATATTTTTAAATACTAAATATTAAAGCATTTAATCCAAAGGTATTAAACAGATACGCTCGTTCAAGTGTTTTTTGATTTTGCTCATTTCACGTGCACGCACGTGCATACATGAGCATGGTGAAAAGATGTCCGTTACATCTATCTATGGCCCACCCCGTTTGTTGAAAACCAAGGGAGTTATAGCTGTTTAAAGTTTCAGCCAATCAGATTGCAGCGCACGTACATGCACGTGTAATGTGCATGGTGACCATATTTTCTTGTAGTAGTCCAGTATATCTATCTATGTTCCAAATTCCATCCTGTTTGGTTGAAAATCAAGGGAGTTATAGCTATTTAAAGTTTAAGCCAATCAGATTGCAGCACACGTGCATGCACGTGTTTTATGATAATTGTTATATATCTTTTTGTAGGATATCCTTATGCATGGCTATTTTCAAAATTTCAAAGGATTTCGTCAAAAAATAAGAAAGATATTGAGACTTTAGTTTCAGCCAATCAGAGCAAAGCGCACGTGCATGCGCGTGAGATCTTGCTATTTTGACTATGTCATATTGTTTATGCTTCTAATATATCCTTATATTATAAGTTTCAAAGCATTTCATCAAAAATTAAAAAAAGTTACGCCTATATCAATGAAATCGGTCATTTCACATGTTGCACGTGCACGCTCTTGCAAGCACCTGCGCGCAAAATGGTTCCGCAAATCTACATAACATGTCACTGACCCTAAAAACATTTCACCTTAATGTATAGTTTACGAGATGACAAAAAAGTTAATAATAATAAGAAACAGAGTAAAAACAATATGTTCCCCAACTTGTTTGATATCACTTCATTTGAAACCAAGTAAAAAAAAGTTCGTCGAGTTGGTAAATGACGTCGATACGCGACAGGAAGTATTGTTTCCCAAACAAGGAAAGCAGTTTCTAAAAATGAAATTAACACTTGTTTGATATCACATCATACTTTGTCTTGACAAATTTCATAAAGAAAACAAAATGTCATCATCATTACAGGCGCTTTGTTGAATGAAATCATTCGATATTGAATAATTCGACACGGCATATTAAACTTCGACATAAACGTATCATCATCAAATGTAAGAATCGGAACGACCAAGGCAAAAACTCCGCCACATCTTGTTCGACCATTTGTTCTCTCGAGATATCTTAAAACATTCACATGTGATCAATTATATTTATGGACAGATTTTCGTTGAAAATAACCGAAAATGACAGCGATTATCATCGACCAATCTCTATGTGCGCAAACAACTTGATTTAGCCATCCCATGGAAAAAAAAGACGACGGGATATTAGATACGCTGACAAAGATAAACGACAAAAAAGCATCTCGTTAGTATTACAAAAGAAGTAATCAATGTTATTCGCACTTGAAAAAAAGGTGTACTTACAAAAAAAAAGTCATGCTTTTTTTCTGACACTATCCATGAATTTAATTTAAAAACATGACACGTTACTTTATTCATCTTATTCTTCCGTGAAAACTAGGTATAGGATTTTTTTTTGTTTTCCTTCCTTTCACGAAAAAAAAAAATAAAGCGATGTTACTTACATCTGTTCGAAGTAAAAGTTTCTCCATCCAAAAACTGAAATAAATTGATTCCGGATTGTTCAATTCTTATATGATGAATCCGCAGCTGACAGAATTCTTTGCGAACCATCAATAGCTCTGTTATTTAATTCGATAAAACATCTTATATTACAAATCTCTACCGCATGTACACAAAGGGGGCGCTACGTTATAGATGAACATTTCATCGAGCTCACGTATTAACTTTAAATATCTGACAGGAAAAAAAAACTTGAAAAAAGATATATAAAAAAAAAACATTTCTGTAACGCAGACAGAGAAACTGTAAAGGTCCAATGACTTGTAAATAATGTCCTCCAATGCTAAAAAAGGAAAAAGACGGAAATATCCATGTGTGTTATTTTTTTGTTGATTAAATTTTAAAAGAATCCATTAAACCATTGATTTTTTTAAAATTAATTTAAAAAATGTATGTACAAGTTTTTAAACTTTTTGATGTTTTTTTTAATTGTATTAAAGGCATTATTGATATACGGTTTGATAATTTTCTATTACAGTAACATGACTGGGATCTCTCTATAAAATAATTCATGGGAGTCAACAATATATAAAGAATATATTAAATTTCTGTCCAAAATTACTTGTGCATGGATTATTACATGCATTTGTTTGAAATAAGAATTTTTTAACAGATATATTTCATTTACTAGAACCTAAGAACGTGCAGTGCGGGTGTACGTTTACATGAAGCGGGGAGTGATTGCCTTTATTTAATTGTGAATAATAGATAAACGAGTATTTATGCATGTTGTAATTTCTTAGTCAAATTTTACTTACTATTAAATAGGTTTTACAGACATATTTTGTAATTATACATGTACAAGCCTGATCTCTTGTCATTATAATATAACTTTATTCGTTTAACTGTAAAAGAAATCGCAGCCTGTGTGAATTACATCGTCCATTTATCTTGATGTATCGTTACCTAACTTTGGCTTTACATGCCTTATCATAACGCCGTGCTGATACACGTATCATATCATATCATAATTTAGATGAAAGGAATCGCCGCTTCAAACAAATGATTTTTAAATATTGTCTATTCTAACAGCCTATCAAGATTTAATTTGAGAGTTAGTACTGAATTTTTTTAAAATTTCACTCCCATTTTCATATTTTTGAAAGAAAATATTGCTCTTTAAATATGATGTTTATGGATCTGAGCTTGACAACTCAATAAATGAAGATGTAAGATGAAGCATAAATTATAATTAACATAAATGCACATGCTTTTCATTTTGCAAAAAAATATTAAAAAAAAAAATAAGATGCACATCGCATTTTATATTCATAAGCAACTTCTGTGGTCATTATAAAAACATACGATTTTTTTTTTTTACTCCTTGTAGAAAACTTATTAAATGCATCACATAAACACGGAATCACACAAAACCCAATTACCAAACACTCTGAATGGAGGTTACAAATAAGGCCATCTCGGATCTTTGATGGACAAGGCAAAAGCAAATACATAATACACTCCCTCGCTGTACAGAATACGCGATTTTGAATTATGGAGCATTGATAAAGGTCATTTATTAGTGGGAGGAAAAAAAACCTTTTTCTGAAATTCGAGTAAAATTGTGGTGATTCCGATTTCATGTCAATTCACGACGCTTTATTAAGATTAGTTGGATAGAGAACAACCGAAACGTTTCCAGCAATAGGGAGAGATGGGTAAGGTGATACCATCATCGTAGAGCTTGATAGAGAGTGTCGACATCCATAGCAATACAAGCCTTATTAGTATGCAATCTTACTTTTGTCGTAGACGACTCCTATACCGGAATATAAAAGCAAAAGTAAGGACATATATGGCACCCCAATCAATACTAATTGCCTAAATATATGCTGTCAAGATATGTTTACTTCCGACAGTGGTATCTATTTTCTCGTATTTATCAAATAAATCACAACTCATTCTTAGGGGAGCCCTGCGGGCGGTCAGAAGGAGGCCATTAATCGGAGGAAAATTACCCCCAGAAAACCTGGTCTGAGGGTATTGGTCTCGTCTGAAATCACACGTATATTATCTAAAATCATCGCTCTAAGCAGAATAAACAAGCGAATACACTAGATTCTGCTGACGGACAAAAGCTTCTAATCTTTATATCGAACTGGATGACAATAGATTTGATGGTCATGACTCTCTGTACTCTCTATTGATGAAAACTTCATTGTGGTGTGGACAGCATTTCTTTTTTATTGGAAACTTGCGGTTCTTTTCTGCGGTACCTATGTGACCAGAACATGTTTCAGGGCAAAATTGTAGACTCATTAAAGAGAGAGCGAGCTGTGAATTTGTTTTATCCACTGTAATTATATGCACATGTATATATGTGTTTATTTCTAATATGGTAAAAATGAAACATGAAGATAACGAGCAATAGTCTTGCTGATAAATGCAGTAAATCTGGCAAATTGAGAGCATGTAGCAAACACAGACCCATGGGAACATCAGAGGTGGGATCAGGTGGAATGGAGAAGTAAGCATCCCCTGTCGACGGTCAACCCGCCTTGAACCTTTTGTCTTGAACCGGAATTTTGCGAATACTTTTGTAAGACAAATCTAACACGCTTATTTTTTTAACTGAATGTTAGCAGGAGTAAATAACAAAGTAACCAATCTTCTATAACAGCTTAAATTCGAGCACAAAAATACGGTAAAAAAATTTCTCCATTATCGTTTCCAATCTTGATTTACCTAGAAGATTTTACATTGCATGACGTATAGAAATTTTTGCCATTTTTTAGAACCAATGTCTGGTCGTATGTTTTGATTCTGTAGTTTAATAAATCAGGAAAAATCTTTTATTCCACCTACACAGGGAAAGTTTTACTAGGTTGTTCTTGCAATTTTGACACGTGCTAAAGAGGAATTACCATGGAGAACCCCCCAAAATATATGTACAACGTACTAGGATAAAGAAGAATTCTGTCGGCTCTTGGGTGGTGGAACTGACACTCAGCTTTCAATGTCCCACTGGCATTGTCTTTTCTACAGATAACAGGTGAATTTGCTTTACTTCATTCACCTTTGAATTTAATCATTTGCACACCATGATATTTATTTGTCTGACATGGTTTAAATCTTTGTTGACAGTCAATACCAGCGGATAAAAGATCATTTCGGTGATCCACACACAGAAACCTTAAAAGATAGTTCCTAACAATAAGATACTCCCATTTCAAGAGGATTGAATAGCATGCACAAAGTTTCATATTTCTATTGCACTCCAACACTACCTTTCTATAATTTTACACATTGTTTTGGAAAACTCAATGTAACTTGAAAGCAATTAAGCTGCTGTGTGCCGAGGTAACATTGTATAGCATGGCATGTGATTTGATTAACAAAACAATTCTTTAATGATAAAGACAATTTGTTTGGCACTTTAATCTGTGTGAACATTTAGTTCCATTGTAAAGTTTAGCAACTTACTAATTAAAAGCATTTACGCAAGAAGTGTACCAATTCGTCTACGATTGACAGATAAACCAACCCTAGCTTATATTGAACATTTGCCAGAAAATAAGATCATTAAAAAAGACGATCTTGCCAGATACAATTAGAGGTCAGCATTATTCTGTTAAAACGCTAGTTTCTGATGCTAATAATACTTGTAACATGTCAAGTTATATGAAGGATGTCCTGAAATTACTCTAAAATTAAAACCAACAAATCAAATCAAGGGTTCTTTCCGGTCAAACAGATTCCTTGTTCACAGTGGCATAGCGTAAAGAATGTTAATCAGAATGGTTGTCTGGGGTTTTAGTGAAACAACCATCGTTCAATGTCTTCCAAAAATCCTCGTTTGACGATTGAATCCAAACTAGGCTTACTCTTCACATTGTTTATTAATGCCAAAAATAATTTCAATCAAACAAAGAAAAAAACACCAAACTAACAAAGAAAAACGGATACTGACTTCGAAACATTATTCTAAGCATGTCAGCATTTATTCTGTTCAGTAGTCCTTCAGTCGCCAGCGCTGCAGTGGTTAGAGCGTCTTTTCTGGATTCGCGGAGTGAGGAGTTGATCCTCTGCAAGACTTCCCGCTGAAATCTTATAAAACCAAGGTCCCGTGTCGCAGTATTGCTGAAACGAAGAAGACCCCTTGCTTCTCAATAGTTCTGAGAGAAGAATATGGGTCAAACTAGTCTTTATAGCCTTCCACCGGCAAGTTGTGGCGTCTCCATATGAATGAAAAATTCACGAGAAGGACATTAAACAAAAAACAATTGTCCTTCATGACTACACGTACACTACAAACCAGGCAGTTGCCAATCGCTGAACAACTTGTTCAGTAATTACACACAGACAGCCCTTCTCTCTCTCTGTTTTAAATACATTTGGGTTGAAGACCCGACAGAGCAAAGTGTAGGGCATAGGGATGTTGGATACATCCGCTTAATTCAAAAGGAAATAGTCTTTTGATTACGTTTTCGTCTTTTCTTCCTATGCACCTCATCCCATCTCTGCATCTCTGGACTTTTGATCTGTACGGTACCCTTTTCATGTCCTCTTCAGGGGTTAAATTTTTAGTTTAATATATATTTTATTCACAGAAATGGATTGAACAGCAGGCATAAATGCCTATGATTGTTCTCTCCATATGATCGTTCTCTCCGCGAAGAGGATTATAAAAAAGCGTAAACTGACCCAAACCAGATTATACTCGATAATTTGGCCAAGAATTAAAGTCATTCCTTATAATTTAATTTTAAAATAATTAAACAACTTTGGATGTAAAATTGTGTTGCCTTTTATGAGTTCAAATTTACCGTGCAGTAATACAACCGTAGTAACGGAAGTGATGTGAAGCGAGGGGAGGTAATAACTGATACATAGATCTAGCAGCCATGATGTGTGTTTACATGAGGTAAGATCGAGTAAGTGTTTGAAGTTAAAGATACAGTTATTAAATCTTGAATTTTCCATGGATTCCAAGGACTGGAAATGAGGGGATTGCATGGATAAGATTAAGATGATTA